TTTCTTCGCTTTTATTTGCCAGATTATGAAGAGTTTCTTTGGAGGATTTTGATACCCTGGCAATTTTTTGGAGATCCACATCTAACCACTTGTGCCTCAACTCAACTAAAAGCCATGCAAAATCTGCGGCGCCCGTGCTGCTCACCAATTTTTTATGAACATCCAGACTTTTCTCCATTAGGCGCACATAATTAAAACCTTCTATGACACTTCTAACAAACTGATTCTTCTTCTCATTTTGAACGTTGGGAAGAGCAATCATGATGCTTGTTAGCGTTGCCACGGATAGACTCCAGCAATTAAGAGGTTCTGTCCAAATAATTGGAGAGACTTTATCACTTTCAAATTTTAATACACCCTCGAAGCTGGTGGAATTCTCCATAAGCTCCATTAGATTTCTAGGCTGATGCTTTGTACCCATCTTTAAGGATGAATTAATAGATGTGTTAATGAACTTCAGGTATCCATCTTGTATTGCCTCACTTTCTAGAAGTAAAACAAAATTTCTAAGATCTTGCTCATAACCAAGCATGTGTTCTGCTTCATTGGGATTGACCGAGGCCTCAGATTGCCTTGAGAAAAATTTCTTTAACATCACCAAGCATCTGATGATTTGCGTCCTTAAGATACCTAAACAGAGTAGGATCAATGGGATTATAAAATTTAAGAAAATGGGCAATGGATCTCCGACCAATAAGTAGAGAAATCCAGCAATTGAGATTGGCACAAGCAATTTATTCATGGTCACAATCGCTATTTGACTTCCTATACAAATGTTGATAAGTAGATTTCTGATGTGATAAATAATTTTTCTAAGCTTCTGGCCTCGAACATGTAAGGGTGGGAGTTTCTTTTTCCACTCTACCAATCTTTTGATCCTGTAATTCCTTATTTCTATGGAAATGCTAGTGATGGTACATTTTCTAATATTCCGTACAGTGTGAATTAAAGCTACTAACAGTCTTCCCAAAGACATGACAGTGCAAAGAGACATGCCTACAAATTGAGTCCAACAAACAAGATATACTGACCA